CCCCAAAACCCCAAAACCCCAAAACCCCAAAACCCCAAAACCCCAAAACCCCAAAACCCCAGAAAATTTAAATTAAATTGACCTGTTATAATTTAAAATGTCATTTGAGTCTGAAGTCGAACAAAAGGACAAGCTCATTTCTATCCTTGAAGCTGAGAACACCACTCTAAAGTTGTCACTCGAAGAAAAGGAAGAGAAAATAAATGAGCTTGAAAAATGGATGTCTATTCTTAAAGAAAATCAAGCTTGATCTGACAATGAAAATATAATTTCTTCTGTAAAGTAAGCGCATATTTTAATCAGTTTAGTAAGTCAATGGCTACTATTGAGAAACTCAGGCTAGAGAAATTTTACCTTAAAAAGATGCTAACCACTGAAAAATAAGAGGTATAATGACTTAAAATCTGCCTTCATTGAGCTAAGGCAAGCTGCCAAGGATAAAGAAATTGAATACAAAGATCTTTCAAAACAGCAGCTGGTTGAGGATAAATTATCTCTCCAGAACACTATTATGAATCTTTCCACCGAGATTGAGTCCCTGAGTGTGAAGAATGAAGAGTTTTTGTCTATCCTCACCACTAAGGACTTTTATAAAGAGTATCAGGAATCTCAGGAGGAACTGAAGAACTTGCGGGAAGCCCATACCATCCTGATTAACTTGATCAAAGACCAAGAAATAACCGTTCAGAATATGATTAATATTAAGGAACTTAATTTTGAGGAAAGTAATGATCTGTTAAAGGACACCTCAACTATTCTGGGCTATGATGTATCCCATATGAACAGGACTTTAACAAGCCAGAGAAGTCCTCTTTCAGAAATCGATATGAACAAAGGTAGAGAATCAAGCATATCTTCTCTATTTAGCTGAAACGCTATTGGAACCTTGCTGCACGGACAAAAGATGAGAGAGGTCGAAATGAACATGAAGAACGAGTAATTTTTAAATATTTATTTCAATACTTTCTTGGATGACCGGGGTTTTGGGGTTTTGGGGTTTTGGGGTTTTGGGGTTTTGGGGTTTTGGGG